CGTCGGGGAATATATCTACTGTAAGTACGTGGGCAAAGTAAATATTTATTTTGAAAATGTCCCCGTGTCCATTTCATAAATAGAAGCATAAAAGAGGGTTTCTGTTAAATAAACATGGACAAGCGGAGGCATTCACTCGTGACATCTGTCTAGCGAGCGAAACTCTAAGCCTATAGATGCACGCATTCGTCCAATGATATTTATACATATACGATTATATTTTAGATAACACAAATACTCTATACGAAAGACTTAATAAGTTTAAAAGAGACATCGAAACACAATTAATTAGGAAATTGCAGATACAGTTAATTTACATTTTACCCACTACATTTCTTGTCTACGTTTTAATTCTAATTCTAGACATTAACGGGCATTTATTATTCTTTTAGCTTTTGTGGAAGCTCAATATGCATTCAATTTTGAAACTGTCTCCAAAATTCTTTATAATTAAGATCACTATATAGTATAAAACAAAGTCGCTTTCCCGCTGTCTGTCCCTATGTATGCTTAAATCTTTAAAACTACGCAACCAATTTTGATGCGTTTTTTTTTAAAAGATAGATTGATTCAAGAGGAAGGTTTATATGTATAATACATACACAATATAGTAGGAAAACACTGATAAATTTAGAGGTTTGTAATGTGATGTCGTAAATAAACACATTTTTTGCGCTTACATTGCAAACGCTGGCTGAACCCTCCGAGATAGATCAAAATAATGTACTACAATATTGTACATCTTAAAAAGTCCTGGATGGTATATGTCTATCTCTTAGGGATAACCCACAATAACCATTTTTATCCTTTACTTTTTATGAGAAATAATGAGTTATTTACGAAGCGATTGTAGGCAATACAGCATTAATTCTTATCCAATTCAATATGGCCCTTTACAGCATGTAATTTAAATGAATATTACAGACTTAAAATACAAGGACGTAGCGGTTGCGGCGGTACCGGCCGGCACAATACTGTGAATGTTGTATATAAAGACATTCTGTAGTATATTTAGTATGTTCAGGGGGTATCATTAGAAGATTTCTCCTTCTCGATAATTATCTAAACAAAACAAAAATATACATATTTAGTATCAGCATTGCACCCGTGCGAAGCTGGGGCGGGTCGCTAGTACTTAATATTTTCTAAACTACGACATTTCTTATGAATCTGAACTACGGTTTCTAACTGTGGGCATAACAGACATTTGGAAAAGGTGTAGGTATATTTAGCTTAGTATTTATTCAACGTTGAAACTGAATGAATTGAACTGAAGAAATTGCAACCTCTGGAGTGTAGTCAACATCTTTAACTGGATAAGATGACGAAGAGAGGTAAAAAATTGTTTTCACAAATAATCTGCGATGACAATAAGGCCGTAGCTACGGGTGAGTCAAGATCAACCCATTGAACGACATGCTGACACACTCTGAATATGAACTTAACACATCATAATAACATAAAATTTAAAACCGTAAAAGTATTCAGCTTCACCGAGGCGGTGTTAATATGCGGATGTGCGAAAAAAGGAGATGTTTCTACTTCCACCTCATCGTAACGTAAACGAAAGCTGCGCGCATCATTTGCTCTAGCGACCGAATACTGCAAAGTTCACTTTTATCTATACGATATATGCTACACAAAATGATAAACCACGCAGGCGAGGTCATGGGAATCAGGAATGGCATAACAATAGGATATTAGAATGAGCAAAATGCCACGGGCACCCGGCCTGATGGTCCCGAGAGACCGTGAGGACATGAGAAACATTTATTTCAAAATTGGATAAAATATATTAAATTTGTAGATATTAATCAATCACGGTATAGCATTATTAGCATCTAGCAAGGAGGAGTTAGAGATAGCTTTAAATAAAATGGAACCGGTATTAACAAAACAATATTGTATGCAAATAAATAAAAGTAAAACAAAAATACTGGTATGCAAGGGAAGGAAAAGTAGGGAAAGACTGAATATAAAGATAGAAGACGAAAAAAAAAAGAAGTGACCAATTTTAGGTATCTAGGAAGTCAGATAGATAAGTCAGGATGGAAGAAGTAGTAGGGATATAAAGCAGAGGATAGCGCAGGGTCGATTCGCTTCAATAAAAAGAAGTCACTTCTATTATGCTCACGAGCGGTTAATTTAGAAATTCGAAAAAGGTTGTTGTTGTAAAGGTGTATGTTTGCAGCACGGCGCTATACGGGTGCGAAACATGGACAGTGGGCGCGGCGGAAAAGAAAAGGTTAGAAGCGTTCGAAATGTGGTGTTACAGGCGAATGATGAGGATACCGTGGATAGAGAAAGTTAGAAATGAAGAGATATTAGAAAGAGTAAGGAAACAGGGGACTCTATGGAAGTCAATAAGAAATAGGCGAGATGAGTTAGGACACTTTCTCAGGCATGAAGGTCTAGTCAGAGACATATTAGAGGCAGAAACGGAAGTTAGGAGGTGTAGAGATAGACCTAGATTAGATTATTGTTCGCAAATAGTTAAGGATATAGGTTGCTCTAGCTTTAGGGGAATGCGGAGATTAGCGCAGGATATGAAAGAGTGGAGGTGCATGTCCAACCAATCTGAGGACTGACGACCTTATGATGATGATGAATTAATCACAGGCGTTAGATATGATATTAGTTACGCCATTGGGAATCGGCTAGTACGACATCTAGATCATCGACATAACCTGTACGAACCAATCAGGAAGAATAAAAAGGCGCAACAATACAGAGGTACATTCAAAGTCACTTGTAATATAGAAAATAGATATGCATGAGCCATGATCCATTCAATTTTAAATGTTTGGCGTTTAAAGCGTAAATAGATTACAAATTTATTGAAAACGTTGCCAAAATTAAAATATACATCCGTGTTATACACCACCAATAGTGGTACTCACCGTCCACAGTTGGACAGGTACACCTAACATTAATAAATCAATTGATATTTGTTTTTCAAACGTTGATAACACGCTGACTTTACAGGGGTTACTCTTAAAAAATTGCCCAGGTGCGCCATAACAACGGCGCTGCGTGTTACTTATTATAATATACTCAAAATATCCATTTGTAAAACGTAAATTTTAGTTCTTAATTGTGAAGGTGAGTAGTACTTTAGCTAAATGTAAAAAGTGCTACATTTCTATATCATTTTAAACGTTTTAGTAGCGCATACATCTTCGGAAATACCTACTGATATGTTTATATATTTCAAACGCACCTAAGAAGTCGGTCGTCAATCGACAGATTCCGTTCTTGAATAAGACTTTTTCACTCTAGGTTTAAAAGGACGGTTTCGAATTTCTGGTCAACAACCGACAACGATGAAAACGATACGCCACTTAAATAGGTAGTCGAATTTCGGGAAATACAATAGAGTGCGGAAAGCTCAAGTAATACGATACTATGGGCGTGATGTTTCCTTGTTGGGGTGTATTATGGATAGACATTGTATTAAGAGGTGCTCACAGAACGGAACGCGTGTGAGAGACTTATAAGGACCTGTATTTAAAACAATAGCGGATACCTAATAAATAATTATTAACCAGACTAGAATTTCAAGGGGGGTGCAGGTAGTATCCCTATATGGGTAGCCCACTACCCCTTGTGGGCCCCATGAGGTTGCCCCCTAGGGCAAGAAAGGGACATATAACGCCTTGCCGAATTTGCGCATCGTCAGGAATGACGCATATGTGGCCCCGCGGGGAAAAATTATTGCTACCCCATTAAAAATTTATGGAAAAATACAAAATTGAATGAGAAATATATTTTACTAATGAGAAACTGTTCTGTAAGAAAAAGCACGTGTTTGATGTACCACATTAAAATGAATCAACTTCTGTAACTGGTTTAAAGAATTTAATTCACTTAAAAAATACTGATATATACAAATAAATACAAAACTTAAACTACCGTGGAAACTTATGATGAATAAAAAAAACTAACTAAATAAAAAGAGATAAGATTGACTGAATAATTTGAATAATTTTATGAATGATGTTAATGTTGTGAAAGCTTGTGATGACTCTGTTTGGTTACTAAACTTTAACTTTTGGGTGTTTCATTCCAACCAGCCAGTAATGCTGGTGGGCGGGCAGTCCCTCCGGACTACGCCGGAAGGTAGGGCGGAAGGCCCTCTTCAGCCTGCTTTCAGGAATCGTGGGAATGGGTGGGTGGTGGTTCGGGTGAGAAAGATGAGACGGACGAAATGAAGACAGAAGAGAATGAAAGATTATCTGTGGAATATTACTGCTCTAGCCTTTGCCTAATGGATCCAAGGAAACCACAGAGAAACTTGCACCAAGGCAGATGGTTACTTAAAATGCTAATATAAATACAATTGAGATACATAGATGGGACTCTTATTTACTAATAATACAATGTACATGTACTTTGAACATAAATGAACTGGTCTATGTACAGATATTGCTGGCAAGCCTACGTAGAAATTTGGAAATACCAGATGAATGTTACAAACTGGCAGGGTTGTAAAATGACTCTAGTGACCGAGCATGACTATGAATAACTTAAAACTAATATTGCCAAAATAAAATGCAAACAGAAATAAATGGACTAAAATTATAAAAGTTTTATAATTGCTTCAATAATTATTCGTTTCTGAGAAAACGAACATGTTCATTTTTACATATGTAGCAACGATATAACACATATTATTTCTTTACTTTCGTCACTATCATTAAGATAAACCATTTTTTTATCAACATCATTGGTTTTACAGGTAGGAATATTTTCATTGTTTGCAGAAACTATAGGTGCGTTTCTAAATATTTAGGCAATCCTCATTTTAGTATTACCACTTTTCTTTGGAGAGATTTTCATGAGGAATCTACGGGGAAATCTCTATAATTGGCGTGCCCCTCATAAGCCACATGAGGTCCGCACGCTACATGGGGCATGCACCTTAGAAATTGTAGTCGGGAATTTGTATCTTTTCCGTCGTTATTCTTCACTCATCTGTACAATTAATGAAACTGACTTACTTGCAAATCTTGGATCCGCTGCGGAACTCTGATACCAGCCTGTGGAATAATGTGGAGCAAGTCCTATATTTTCAGATACTGGACAATACTGGCCACCACCGAATTGACCCATTACGGGGTAGCCGGTATTCATGGCTGCACTACCGTTAGCACTGCCGTTCCCTCCGTTACTTGATCCTCCACCAGCTCCTGGGGAGTTTATGCTACTTCCACTAGAAGTCGATCTGAAATAGAAAATAGAATGAAACCGTTTTTAGATATTTAGATCAACCGTTCGCATTTTCTGAGATAGATATTGTGTGAATTTTGTATATGGAAATAAACCTGATGATATTTTCTAGTTAGGTACCTATCCGAGGAAGTCACCAATGAGGACAGGGTAGGATCGTTTTAAAAATTTGAAACAGGAAAAATTTTTGAAACCTAATTCGTTCTGGTGTAAGTTACGGTATGAATTCAGAAGATCGGTAACCCATCTTCTCATTGTGGTTTTCATATCATTTTAGATTATAATATTGTAAATCAAAAATTACGTCTTCTAAGTTACCGTCAGAGAAAGAATACAACGAGAATGACGCCCCCTCTGAATAAGAAATACCTATACAACAAAAATAGAGACAGTCTGAAGTCTGTTCGTGAAATTGTAAAATCAGAATAACGCATAACACTTAATAAATATTTGAATCCAATAAGTAGTATTAGGTTTTCATTATAATGTGACTCATAAAAGAAGTCTTCCAGTTGTGTTGAAAGAAAGCAATGAGGATAGATACGGGCGTGATGGCTGATTATAAGACCTAGTCGGGGATTTCCTTACTCTTGACAAGCTCTCAATCACTCACTAACCTCATACTCCAGAATTAATTTGAATTTGATAAACAAACAATAGTGGAAACTTAAGCTTTTAACAGCTAACAACAACTAGAATTTATTTTAAAAAATAAGGCTGAAAAGGCTTGTTCTGTCTTGTGTTTCTTTTGTCTCTTTGACATAATCTGATCAGAGTTCGGAGAAAAATTTAATGACGCCAATGAGCATCAGAGACCTTCAAAAAGAGTGAACTAGGGAATTCTAAAAATCAAACAAGTAGTTTTTAAGAATTGTTCCTTATGAATTTTGTACCTGCACTCAATCTATACCTAACTTTAGTTAGGATGCCTCTAAGTGCATGTAAAGATACATAAATGGAACTGACCTGTAGGGTGAAGGTGGATTTGCAGCCAGTTCCAATTTCCTGTAGGATTCCTCGATGGGACTTAGTATGTCGGTGACACTGAAAGGCGTGGAGTGATGCAGCTGCTGAAGATGATGATGCTGCTTGGGACTAAGGCTCATGGCCAGGTCCACGCCATTGAGCTCGGGCAAAAGCCCGTGCAGGTCGGCCGTATTACGGTCCACCACGCCCTCCCCGTAACCGCCGACACCCTCAGACATGGACGCGAACGCCAGACAGTGACGACGGCGCCAGAGACAAACGCCGGCCGTCGTCCACCACCTCCTACGACAATTGTTTATCTGGCTTTCTTGTCTTTAATCGACCTTATGCCGGTGTTAGTTGAACATAACGTCACCACATCGAACCAGACCCATCGTCATCATAATCGTCACAAGTCCCATCTGGAAAACATAAATATGGATTCTTACCTTACCGATCGTATAAACCTATTTGAAAGCCTTTTAAAGGTAATAGGTTCTGAATCAAAATAGAAAATAATAATTAACAGGTACAGATTTGGGCTTAATTTACCTTACTATACTGAACAATTATATTTGTGATCAAAAAGAAGAAGGCTTCCAAAATTCACGGCCTACCCCTCATAGTTCTAAAGATTCACTTATGGACGTTTTAGAAGGTATACTTGATAGGTAGATATTAGGGGAGAGCGATACGAAGGGTAGAATAAGTGAAAATTACTTTTACTATCCATTTTCTTTACATTCCGATACTGTACAATTTGTCATTTTTGTTAAATTTTATAAAACTCGGAAATTTTATTGGTCTGTCTCTTTTGCACTTTCCAGATTTACATTAAGCTTTCCTGTTGTCAAGATAAACCGTAGGATAATAGTAATATCGCTACGTAGCGGGCGAAATATGAAATATTCGCCAAATTTTATTCTCACTGAAAAGACGTAGAATGTTGTCCATTTTGAAAAACACGTGCTCCATATTTTCATGTTTCTTTTTCCTTCTTTTATTTAACTTCCAATCTCTTAATTTGTTTGTCAGTATTTAACATATTTTTCGTTCTATGGCTTCTATTCTTTTTGTTTCTCAAATTTCTCCACTTTTTGGAAGAAGTAGCTCCTATTCTCTTAATTAATTTTAACTTTTTAGTTGCTTTAAAGACATCGGGGATGTTTAAATGTTCTTTTTTATGGCGATAGATTTCTTGTTTACCTAACTATAATATCATTGGACAAGGTGACTGCGTTTTTTTGCTCTTCTTTTGGCTTTCATTTAATTCGTATTGTATTTAGATAGGAATAGATGCACAGGGCAAAAAAATTGGTATGCTTAGATTTCCTTAGATTTGCAAATGATACGACATTATTGCCGTCTAGCGAAGAGGAATTATAGAGATACCCGTAAATATCTAAAATGGAACCGGTATTTGCATAACAATACTTAAGAAGGCATGAAAATATTGGTATGCAAGGGAATGAGTAAATATAAAGACAGAGATAAAACAAAGAATTAACGCAAAGTCGAGTCGCCTTTAACAAAAAGGAGTCATTTCTATATTCGAAAAAGATTGTTAAAGGTGTACGTATGGAGCATTATTCGGTACTGTTACGAAACGTGGACGCTGGGTCCAGCGGATAAGAAAAAACAAGAAGAGTTCGAAATGTGGTGGTGTTACAAGCTAATACAATGAGTGAGGATACCGTGGATAGAGAAGGTTAGAAATGAAGTGAGAACAGAAATAGTTATGGAAGTGAATAAGAAAGAGATGAGATAGGTTGGTAGGACACCTTACCTTCTCAGGTATGAAAGGATAATTAGACACATACTAGAAGCAGAAACAGGAGTTAAAAGGATTAGAGGTAGACCTAGATTAGATTAACGCTTATATACAAGTGGTTAAGGATGTAGGATGTTCTAGTTTTAAGGAAATGCGAATATTAGTTCAGGATAAGAAAGAGTGGACAGTGGAGATGCCTGTCATGCAACCAGTCTTACGACCCTACGGTAATGATGATTATTTGGTGTGTTCATATTCTTCGTACCTAATTGTTATTTGCACTTGATTTTGGTTTACATTCTTTACTTATTACTGTGGCGACTCGCCTGTCTCGCGCCAGTTCGCTCCACCCACCCCACAGGTCTCCAGATGTCTAAGACGGAGAGCACGTCGTCGGCCTTACTTATGAGTCCAGGCGTGCTTTCGGAACGAAACATCTTTTCTCGCATTTCTGTAGACAACGAGATATCTGCATTACTTTCGTATTCATAAAATATTTATTTTCCAAAACTGATCCGATTCCTGTTGTATTTTCTTTAGATATCGTTATCAATATTATTTTGGACAATAATTTTTTCTGGTTCAGCATCTTTATTTAATGTACATACTCTGTTTCAGAATTTCTTTTTAGTTGGTCTTTGTTATTCGCCCATACTTTTTGTTGCACTTGTCTTGACTATTTGGATTTACTGCAATAGGTAACTTCCTATTCCTGCATTTTCTGTAAATCATGATTATGGTAGACAATTTCAAAGACTGTTATAATTTCGCACAAATTGTTTTCCAACATATATTTAATTAAAAAAAGTTGTATGTCTGTAACGCAACGCCTTACAGGTTCGAAACATGGATGGTGGGTGCGACGGAAAAGAAAAGGTCAGAAGCGTTCGAAAGGTGATGTTGTTATATACGAATGACGAGGATACCTTGGAGAGACAAAGTTAGAAATGAAGAGGTACTAGAAAGAATAGGAGAATAAAGGACTCTATGGAAGTCAATAAGAAATAGGCGAGATAGGTTGGTAGGACACCTTCTCAGGCATGAAGGGATGGTCAGAGACATATATTAAAAACAGAAACAAAAGTTAGTTAGTTAGTAGACCTAGATTAGATTACTGTTCATGAATAGTTAAGGATGTGGGAAGTTAGAATTTTAGGGAAATGCGAAGGTTATCTCAGGATAGGAAAGAGCGGAGGTAATGCGTGTCTAACCAGTCGTATGACTGACGACCTTATGATGATGATATATTTAAGCACCTATAATTGATAGCCTTTAGGTAGGTATGTCTGGAATTTATACTGATCATAAAGGTATTCGTAATTAGTTTCTATATCTGTGTGACTGATATAGAGTTTAAGTTATCAATTTCGGCTGCGTCACTGGTAGTGTTTTTTGCTGAATTTAGACATTCATCAGTTCCTATAGTATCCCTTGTCACGTTTAGAACGTAGTGACAGCAGTTTTGACGTCAACCTTAGCATTTTCTAACTCGTTAGTAAATTTATTAATAATATTGATGATATCATCAGTATTAATATCACTATTTTTAATTTTGGTGCCTAGAGATTTTGCATTCTTGGTGGCATTATTTTGAAGTCTGATGGTATGTTTAGATTGCCTGGATATAAGCCACGCACTTGCGGAAGTCGTTACTCATGTTTATTTGGCAAATTTTTATATTTTCTTTTTCTATAAGACCGTTTTAAGTAATGGGAAAAAATTGACTTTGTCGAAAGATAGGTACCATTGTTGACATTTTTGGGTTGAGTTGTCCATTCATGCACGATATTTTTCCATTCTGACTTCAAAGGTTTAAACGCATTTATTACAACAGCAGGTTCAATCAAACGTGTCGCGTTTTGTGGAAGTACATAAAGGATTATGCCATTTTAATTACTCAGTAATGGCTGAGACGCAGTGTGGCTCTTGTTTCCATCAACAAAAACAAGAAAAGAATTAACTGGTTTTTGTATGTTTTGATCTTCCACCCATTTGTTGAATCCTTTTGCAATATTAGTCAAAAGATATATCTGATTTCATTCTCTCACTTTCCTAATAACAGTCATCTTCATCGTTTTTTTTTTCTTCTGGGTCCTTTACTAGTTTGGCAAACCACTTCCAAATATCTTCAGATACCTATTTTCGGGAGTTCTCTAACTTAACTCAAGTTTTCGTCTATGAAACAACTGGTATTCACAAATGGGTTAGGTCTATTTTCTTCTGATATTCGCATGAACTTGTAAATTTCAATATCAAAAATTTCAGTAAAAAAGGTCATCAGTTTTTAAAAAGAATCCACATTTTGCAAAGGCTATATGCACTAGTCCTTGAGGGAAGTCTCTTCTTTTTTAGTATTGAGCCTGGTCCCAGCACATTAGGCCAGGAGTCGGGACTCAAGACCTCAGTGAGATAATTTCATTATTTGCTGACCAAAAGGCAAGAAAAGTTGATTTTTTCAGTAACATTTAGAAATGTAAGTATTACTATTTTGTATTTATTTGTGTTATTTAATAACCTTGTGATCAAATTTGTTTTCTTTATTGGGTAGATCAGTTGTCACGCAACATATCTAGTGTGAGCTAATGCAAACACGTTTGAGCAATAAAACTGATTTAAATCTCAAACTGAACTTGTTTTTGGATGATAGAGGGGACCCATTTCACCTGGGCGCCAGGGCCTGGTTCAGACATGCTGGCCCCCTGATAATACTATAGCAAATGTGCCTAAGTCCATGAGTCCTACCTATGGGTACTCATTTACTTGTATTCATTTTTGGGATCCTTTTGGTATAGGTACCTAACACTATTTTAATAAGTATACCTGTATGTAATTCTAAATAAATTTATGAAGGATTACTTACCTATTTCGTTTCAAGTTTCATCTCGAAGTTTATTAAATTTTAAAACAGTCTTTCTGCCAAGTAAAAAAACTCACACAAATACACAAATCACAATAAATAGGTAAGGTACCCTGTTCAATGTTCATACATCAATTGTCATTAGTCAAACACGTTACACGAATCCAGAATGTCGTTGGTGAGGGAAACACGAAAAATCCGAAAAAAAGTCGCTAATTCATGCACTTATCCACCGAGTCCCCAAGGGCCCGTCGCATCGTCCCGTTTTCAACTTCACTTCCGGTCGCTTCCGATTGCCGAATTCAATAAACAAACTGACTAACTATATAAATAAATCAGTGATCGAGCAATAGCACTCTTGGAGAACTCTTGATGTAAGACTCTTTAGCTGAAAGTGCGCTTAACTTGCCTAAGCGTACTCCTAGAGTGTCCTCCAAGTGTACATGGCACTTCTCCCTCGAACCTGCTGAATTCTGGGTACTCAATGCTTAAAAGTGGGCGTGTCCTCGTTCGACGCACCAATAACAATACGTAAAAGACTCGACAGGCGTGTCGTCTCTTCGCCTGGCGAAACTAACGAACAGCTTCTGTAATGCTACTTTGCGAAGGTCGAAGTTTGCCGAATAAGTTCGGGTTCGTGTGAGCCTGGGTGCCTAGCTATTTTAGCCATAAGGGATATATTCAGTTGAGCTGGGCGCTAACATAACGGAAATTAAAGCTCCGCCTATGATGTCAACCTATTGCAGAAGTGCTTTCGAAAAGCGCTGAAGAGGGGACAATGATATTGTATATTTATATCGTTTTATTGGGTATATTGATCTAAGGTTTTAGCTTACTTTTCATGTAGTTTTGATTTCAGCTTTTATTACCGGTAGAGATGGCTTTAGAGTGGCACTAAATTATCATGCGAGTTCTTCAACTAACCTCTCCACCTCGGATGTTTATCCTTACTTTCTTATTATCTACTTGTCATCGTGTTTCGTGCAGTTGAAAAGATGAGATGTGCCCCACAAAGAAAAAATCCTCATTAAAAGAAAACTACAAAGTATACTTTTTAAATCCTCGTAAATATCCTTCCCATTTGTCCTCAATGACTAGAAGCGATAGCATCTTTTAAATAAACAGGAAAAAACGCGGTCTGTTTATTTAATTCTCTTTTTGTTATAATTTCGCCCCGGAATACAAATTAAAAATCGGTAGTGTTCTCATCTTTTGTCTCTACGTATCGCTTTGATATTTGATAATTACGATTCTTTAACTCTTTTTTGTCATTGTGGTAGACGTGTTACGAATTCGACAAAGTCCCACCGCAAATGATAACAATGAGGCATTCTTTTCCAATGTGCTACCTACCCAGAAACGTCCCTGTTTAAAGCTTCCGCTCCAAGTCTATCACAGTTTCATAGATATGTAATTTTATTTTCTTTTGGTAATTATTTGAGGTTCTCTACACAGTAGTCACAGGGGGGTTTAGGTAGTTCAGATATCTGCATCAAGTGATAAAAAATTTTTGAAGTGAAACTTCATTACGCACGGTAGGGCAAGTTCGTTTCATGCGAGTTGCTATGTAACGAAATCATGCAACGGATGTCCCCCCTCTACGCGGCGACGTAGTCGAGTTAGTAGTGGGGATCGCTTGTGCCGTGAGCGCGCTTCAATACAACGTTTGTTGCAGGCAACTCCGGCATGTATAGTGTAAAATTTAAATTCATAGTGTAGAAATAATACCATTAAACCAATTCCTTAACCCCTATCCCGGTATGTTTGTGTGTTTGAAGAAACAAACTGAAAATTTTGAGTAACTACAAAAAAAGTTTAGTTTCAAGAAAACAATAAGTACCTATATTAGTTGGTCCAAGTAGTTTAACTCATAAATTCAACGGAAGTAATAATTTTTCGTCTAGTCTTGCGTATTTATTGGTCTTAGTCTTGCATATTAGCTCTCGGTTTTAGTCTTGGTCTTGGAATTGAAGTAAAATTTTTTATTTTTTTATAGATAGGTAAGGTATTTCACAGATTTTGCAATCTATAGTTGTAAGTAGAACATAATAACAAAAAAATGATAGGGTACGTATGAGTTTTCCTTTTGATTGTAATTCCATCAACGTGTAGTATAAAAGTTAACAGCAATTCCAATATTGACCCTCAAGTTCACAATAAAGGGACTAAAATACTAACGAGAGAGCTTAGCAAATAAGTGATGGTGGAATGGTGAGCTTTTGGTTTATCCGCTCGCATTAGGGTTGTACAATGTAAATTTATTAAAAGGGTAAATGCAATGGGTGCATTACATTTTCATCCCAATCATTTTCTGTTGGGTAAAAATAGTATATATTAGGATTAAATTATTTAATTAAACATGTGAAAAATACTTAATTTTTTCATAAGCAATTAAGAGTTAGATACCTACAAAAATTTTATTATTGTGATTAAATATTTTTCACAAACATCCCTTAACAAGAGCGTTATAAGAGTGTGTCGACCAAATTGTATAATAAATAACAAAAAGGTATTCAAATCCAAACGTCGTGTAAAAGATTGAATTAGTTGATGAAATTAAGGAAAAATACAAGCGATTGATTCGCAGCTACTGTCAACCTGCCTCTTGTCCTACTTACAGTCTATTTCGCACGAAAAATAGCAGTGAGGGATTCCCCTATTTGCTGAAATTCTTACCTTCGTTGAATCGCGAACTAAAAGTTTATGAAAAAATTAATTCGCTATTTGGGTTTTTGTGGATTTCTCGATAAAGTAAGGTGATTTTTAAAACGCACCTGATGGAGGCACAGCTTTTCAAAATTAATTTAAACTTATATATATATAGAAAACTATATTTGATCGTTAATGGATTAATAACGTTTGAATGCACACACTTGCGATTATCATAAAGAATTTGATAGAATTAAAAATATTGCCAAAGACAATGTATGCGACTACAATTATAATATTGATAAAATAGTCAATAACATTAAGTTCAAAAATCTCATTTTAAGTTCCTCAATTTTTCAAAAAGACACTATCAAAACCAAGTTTATTACTATGCCATACGAGCCCAGACTTACTCCAGGACTCGGAGCTAATTTTTCGTAAGTACTTAAACTTGGTTTTCGAATTGCGTAGGTATAGTTCCAAATTGGAACTCTTTTTAAACTCTTCTTGGTAGCGCAAAAGATAGAACTTCTTTTCTAATGAAAAAGCCGAGAATATATGAAGTTGATTGTAAAGATTGCAGTCAGAAATACTGTATATTAGACAAACTAAACGCTCCATACCTATTAGGTTCAAAGAGCATTTGACTCATACCAGGTTTGAAATAACTGAAAAATCTTGTGTTGCCCAACATATTGTAGCGAGCACGAGTGTGTTTGTGTGCGATCGGGCACACGTGTATATGAACGGCTTATCGATTCGCCGACTAGCCGCGGGCGCCTTTCTTCATGTGCGCCGTATTTGTAAATGTGTGTGTCGTACCTGCGTTCTGGGAAAGCAGTTAAACAGTTCAAAGAAAAAAGAAACTATCCGGATGTTTCGAGAAGGCTTCCGAAAGTAAACAACAGAGTATTTAAAGGAAGAGACGATCGCCGAGTAAAGAAGAAATAAATTGATTGTTGCAGAAGTGAATCGAGAAATAAATTGACAGTGAAATAAATAGCGCAGTGAATAGTGATATATCAACAGTAATGTAAATAAATAGAATAATTCATAACCTAAGTAGTAATAATTTAATAGTGTTTTTAAGTTCTTTAATAATTAGTGTTAATAAATAGTTATGTCGTTATCAGTCTTAAAAGTTAATTTTGTTAAACCCACGAACATTACAATATTTTTACTGAAAAAACTATCAATATTGACAAACTTATTAAATAATTAGTAAAGAAAAGTAAAAACAATTATTTGCTTGACAATCTTGAAACTATTTTTATTTATAAAAACTGCCGATTAAGCTTTCTTAGGGTCTTTTCCGTAAATCTCCACTAATATTTAGTCTAATTTAATTATTTTGTTCTCGTTTTGTAAACTCCACTGAACATTTCAATTGTCGTATCGAGTTATTATTACTAGACCATAATTTCAGTTAATATTTGTTATTTAGAAGTATGAATTTAGTCTTTAATTCTCTTCAGTCACCTTGAATAAGATAACATTCTTATTTAAAACTATTTTGCACATTCAGTGTCGTGTTTTGACTTTGGGGTTTCGAGCCTGTTAGTATTTTACAAAGCATAATGTTTCGGTTTCGAATAAGTTCTTAGAAATATTAAAAAATCAAAAATTCTTCAGGTACGTAGGTATATCATATTATTTTTAATAATTTCTGATTTATTATTGGAAAAACGTCGTTTAGCTACACCTGTTTTTCAGAATGCCAAAATCGCGGTCATATTCTAATATTTTTAGGGTTTCATAAACCCGAATGAAAAACGGAACCCTTATAAGATCACACGTGTGTCTGTCTGTCCATCTGTCACAGTCAATTTGCGCCAAATTTACTGGACCGATTAAGTTTAGTACCTAAATATGAATTCCTTTGACTCAAGCACGGACGCATATAGTAAATAATTTAATTTTGAACATGGTGGTCACTTTTGGGGGGCCAGTACGAAATTAAAAAAAAAGTTTGACAAACTGTACCGAGTGACATATCAAAATAAGGGGCTTGTTGGTAAGGGTCTCAAACATATATAAATATAATTTTAAAATAAATAGTTTTAAAGTTATTTAATAAAATAGATAAATATCTCCGAAACTAGGTACTGAACCTAAAATTTTGAAAATAATACAGAAAATAGTTCCTTACTTATAGATTACAGATTGAACATAACGTGGTAAATTTACATTTACAGTTTGAACTTTTGTTTGAAAAATTTTTCTATTAAACATAGTTTGGCCACGATAAGCATAGTGTGTACTTTTTAGGCCACCCTGTGTACATAGATGGTTATTTTTTTAATAAGGAAATATCTACTAAAATTGTTAATCAAATCACTTTGTAGTTTTGCCTACTGAATACCAATTACCAGTTTCTAAATTTAAAAAATCCTACAGAGTGGGCCAACTGATGGAATTTGGAATTGGATAAAAGTTTCTACTCTCCAATCAAAACAGAGTTCCATATTTTCTCTTATCTTACGAAACCTTTATGCCATCAAAAAGAAACTCTGACGCGATGCGGATGCTTTTCAAGTTTTTTTTTTTAATATTTTTCCGTCGTTTGGACTGCTCTCGTTGGCGATTTTTAATCCGCAAAGCATTAAGTCAAGTTAAAAGGTCCTTATTCGCGCGAACAAGGTACCTATGCCCTTTTGGTCAGCAGTTATAATCATCAGCAGAACGCGTACATAAGCACGGCGCGACGCGGCGCCGGATCCGTCGCCGTCCAAAGCCCGGTGAAAGGTGGTGGCCGCGTTGAAGAGTTGGCTGGA